AAGCTATCCGTCAGGCAACTCGCCGACTCGGACAATGAAAGGAAACAAACCCCACGAGAGCGGGTCGAGCTTATCCCAGAAAGCCAGCCCACATAGCCCAATGGGCTCCTTCCCCCGGGCTGACAAACAAGCACATTCTTGGCTCTGTTGACCTTTATTATCCCACGTGGACTCAAGATGGCAGAAATACAAGCTTGGTAAGTCACCAGGGGTTTTGCAAACTAACAATTATACCCCTAATGGGATCTCAATACTGATTATAAAGATGAGATCTAGTTTATGCGAATTGTACGAGAAAGCATTTATGTGGTCACCTGCACAGTGCACACACACGCAAACATGCACGTGCATACACACACAGGCACACGTTACACACAAGCATGCACATGTAGACACGTGCATAGACATGCACAGACGCACGCAGAGACACGCAGACACAGATGCAACCACGTACACACACGCACACACACCGGATCCTGCCTTCTCAGACAGTGGCCTCTCCTCCCCCAGGACCAGCACCACGGGGACAGCCGGCCTCTGCAGGTGGAGTACTACCCGCCCAACGGCACTTTCAGCCTGCACTACTTCCCCTACTACGGCAAGAAAGCCCAGGTAGGTGTGCTTCTCCCATCCTCGGACAATAGCTGCTGAACCATCTCAAATCCAGCAACAACTAGCGAAAGGAAAGCCAGAAACGCTTCACCCACGAACATGAAACCAAGGCACTGCTTAGCCCACCCTGACCTTTCAATGCCCTGGGTCTTTCACAAACCCGCGTCCTCGTAACTACCTGAAAACACTCCGCTCTCACGCAAAACATCAAGTCTAACGCTTGTACTTCCCAAGGGCCTCCCAAATCCTTTTAGAACTGCATACCTGTTTTCAAGCATTTCCTCCAAATCTCTTGCTTTTTCTGTTTTATGATAATCTTCATCAAAGACAATTTGAAGTTGTCATCGGTGCTGTCTGTCCTTTCCAGACCAACTCTCCTTGTTTCTAAGTGGGGAGACACGTTTATCCCAGTGAGTCCGGGCACGAGGCAGAGCCCACGCGCTGGCCCCAGGTCACTCAGGTCCTGCAGGGACAGAGCGCACAGAGGATCGCTCCTGTGCCACCTGCGTGTCGCCACTCGTCACGAGGTCCTGACACGCCTCCTCCTTCCACTCTCCCGTCTCAGCCCCACTACAGCAACCCTCTGGTGGCTGCCAAGTTCCTCAACGTCCCCAGGAACACCGAAGTCGTCATCGTGTGCAAGATCCTGGCGGAGCACGTGACCTTCGACAACCCCCATGACCCCTATGAAGGGAAAGTAGAGTTCAAGCTCACAATTCAGAAGTAAAGCAGCAAGGAGGCACCTCGAAGACCACCCCCAGGTCCTCCCAGGCCAGCTTCCCAACGCTCTGACCACCACATTGCGGTCAGCTCGCTAATCCCACGGGCACCCGCACGTGCAGCGCGTGGCGTTAGAACCAACTGTTTCTTATTAAATCTTTATGTTTTTCAGATGGGATTTGTAGCTTTGATAAAAATGTTGGGCTAAGCAACTAGAAGGATGTGCACCTATGACATACAACTATCTACTGGGGCTTTGGGGGAAAAAAATAAATAAATAAAATTAAAAAAAAAAAAAAAAAAAAAAATAAAAAAAAAAAAAAAAAAAAAAAAAAATGTTGGGCTAACACGGTAACCCTAAGGCAGCAGCTATCCAACAACGAGACCCTAAAGTGATTCGTTTCTTTCTACACACACTTCTTTTACTATAGTTTATTTTTCTATACGTCGATGAGCTACCGCCTACGTTAATAGAGACTATTAATGCGTTGATGTGAAACGTGACTTATGATAACGTACACTCTGAATGCTTGCTTTACAGAATGCAATTCCTAAATTGTAAAAATAAACCATATTAAAGTCGCTCTAACTCTACATAAGACAGTCATGTCTTTCCTGATAAGGAGGAAAAAATAACTAAAAAATCAAACACCTCTTTAAAAATCTTCCTTTTAAAGTTTCAATTTCAAGTCTGGGAAATCATAGGACGATGTTGGAGTGGGCCATCCCGAGGATGCAGGTCGGTGAGATGCAAGGGTGTCACCCTGTGACAGAGCCCACGAACCGAGGGAATCACAGACGCCAGTCTCCCTTCCACCAGCACGGTCCCTCCTCAAACACCCAGAACGTGGTCTGCGACTCTCGCCCCTTTTGAAAAACCCGAAATGAGAACATTCTGTCCAAACAGACAAAGCTGCCCTCACCGGGTATCGCCACTTTCTACCCAGACCAGAGCGCAAGGCCTGGTGTCCTGACCCACGTGACCCCCGGGCATAATGTTGCCGCCACAGAGTGACACAGCCAGGAAAACCTGTCAACTCCAGACACCACAGGCCCAAATACACAGACTGAGGAGAGAAGCAACACCCGTGAGGATTCCGGACGGACCACTGAATCCCACGTCCACTGGGCATCTCTACCATGGAAGACACTGGAGCAAACGTCTCCATTGCTGACCCATCAGTAAAAACTTTCTGAGCCACCTCAGAAATGTCATGTGAGGTCAGAGGTCAGAGATCAGGCCACCTCAGAAATGTCATGACCCGCCAGAGGTCAGGCTTCCTTAGAAATGTCATGTCAGAGATCAGGTCACCTCAGATCTATCAACACATTGGAGGTCAGATGTCAGGTCACCTCAGAAATGTCATGACACCTCAAAGGTCAGAGGTCAGGGGTCTGGTCACTCCAGAGGGGCTGACTCGTCCACAAGCATTAGGCTGCGCTGGCTAACCTGGCTCTGGGTCGCTCCCACGGATGGTCCATGTGGCCAGCACTGCTCCCCATTTCACAGAGACGGAAGCGGAGTGACTGCCCTGCTTGGGAAGGGAAGGGTGCGTGAAATTTCAAACCTGCTGCATATGGACTACAGACTTCCTTTGGAAAGAATTTCCAGAATTTTCCCTCAAGTCAATGTTGAAAACGTGGAACGACCCAAAGCCTGGGGAAGGGACAGCAGAGGCTCTGGCGTCAGAGGTCAGAGGCCCAGGTTCCAGTCCAGACACTTCTCCTCCCCAGCTGAGCTGAGCTGTGCTGCCTCACGCCAGTGTCACCAGGCCGTTGGCACATGCGGGCACAGGCAGGGCACACACAGGTGCTCACTGACACCCAGGATCACTACGGTGCCAACACCTCCAGGGTCGATACTCGGCCCAAACAGCCACCAGCATTCTCGTTTTTAGAAGTCCAGTACTCACTAGCTTTAGTGTTTTAATTCTTATAAAATGTGACCTTTGCAAACACACACATCCCCTAAAGGTCACAGAGCACCATGGAAAGTTGGAGGCCAAAGAGCACAGGCGTGGATGCCCTCACGGGTGACGTCCCCAAGACCCAGCATGAGATAACCAGGCCACCGCCAATGACCGACTAGGAAGAGCACTGGGATGAATCACCTGCCCTGGCGTGCCCCAGAGCACCCCACCCGCCACCAAGGGTGGACCACGGTCACCCACCCCTCACAGCTCCTGCCCCCGCCTCTCCACAGCCACCAGAGCCCTTTGCTGCTTGAAATTTGGTGCTGCTTCCTCTCCAGGCCCTTCAGAACTGGCCGCCCTGTGCATGTCATCACCCTCGGTGGGTGGGATCCAGCCGGCGCGGTGCAGGGGAAAAGGCGGCAGGGACTCAGCGACTGGGACCGAGGCTGAAGCAGCAGGGCTAGCCGTGCGTCGGCCCACACAGCGCTTGGAGACAGCCCCACCACTGCGTGCCCCACAGCCCTCAGGACGGTCACAGGAAGTCTTCACCAGGAGGGAGGACCGGTTGCCACTTCCTTCTGCAGGACATGTGGCTCCCGCCCGACATCCACAGCCTCTGATTGAGACAGCCACCCATCCGTTCAGCCAACTCAAACAAAAACACTTAATCTCCTTTCCCACCCGATAATCTTAGTCTTTTTCTGCAAGTCAAACCCATCAAGCCTGTCTCAACTCCGAGGATTCATGAAAAAGGCAAGGAGCAAACTCTCCCCAGCTCTAGCCCCCGGGGAGGAGGCCTCACTTTGGTCGTAGTCCACCATCCACCGTGACCTCCTGCCCCGGCCTTGGCCTCGGGCAGCTGCAGGACAGGCTGACAGCCACGGCGGGTCCAGCCACCACTCCTGGGCCTGGCAACCTCTCCTCGCTCCAGCGAAAAGCAAGACCGACAGCATAAAATGACTTCTAGACAGTCATCCTGAATCAGAGAAACACAGAGCTTGTTTAAAATGCCCATGCGCGTTTTATTAATAAAAACTAACAGTGCTGAGTTAAACAAGTCAAACAATTAAAGTCTCTTTATATTCCATAAAATATTACAGAAAAGTTTATTTGTGTTTCAATAAAAAGACTATTGTTTTAGAACAGGCAGCTAACAGCAACTGTGCAGTTAATGGTTCTTTGTGAATAAATTTTAAAAGAGACTACTGCCTGTCCTGAAATTCCTTTTTCTTTTTATAAAAAAAGAACTATTAAAAATGATTGACAAATTTTGAGTTAAAAAATTGTTAAAACATTCTCTATATTTAATTTCAACTTTATAATAGATTACAGGAAGATGCTTACGAAACAAATACAACATTTGTTTCCGTACGTGTCTTTAAACCATAGACTTATAAGTATGTAAACAACTATATAATAAAAAGTTTCCAAACGCTGCCTGTAAGAAATCAGGCAAATTTTACCATAAGCAATACACCATTCCAAGCCTTCCAGACAGTTCTCAGAGCTGCACCAGCAGGGCAGTGCACTTTCCAAACAAAACAACAAGAAAGAGACCTTTGCAATTTGTTTGCTGCGACACAGAGCGAAAAAGGTATCACCTTGATGGACTCGCATTCGTATAATTTAGGGAAAATAAAGTCATAACAAGTCCTGGCGCTTCACGTGGACGAGCAGAGCCCGCTGGCTCAGCTCAGCTGGTCTCAGTTCTCTGCCGTTCGCCCCCAGTGGGGGGTGCCATTCACAACACACTGCAAATAGCGGCTTTCAGCAGCACCCCCTCGAGTGACAGAACTGCGTCTGACTGTCGTTGATGTGAGTGGAGCACAACTTCTTCAGCAAACTCAGCAAGAATTGTTAAGGGGCAAAAACAAACTCTGAACTTAAAAAAATAGAAAATGAAAACACAAAATCCTCAACGGGGTCAGGGCTCTGCGCCAGCACAGTGCATCCACACAGAGCTCAGGCCGTCCGAGGCCCTGGGAACGCCCTTGCCTGCTTACCGGAGGCGCACGGCGGATCAACAGCTTACCGACGACTTCCCAGAAGGCCAAAAGTAAAGAGAAAACCCACGCTAACAAAAGCGTCTCTTCCCCACACGTTTTGCTGCAGCTGCGTCCGAGGGCGGGCCGGCGGGCAGAGCGTCAGTCCTCGTCGTTTTCATTGAAGTCGTCCTCGTCCTCCTCGTCCTCCCCGACATAGGACACCGGCGTCTCCACCCTGGACCCGCTGTACTGGGACCCGCTGGAGCTTGTGGCCAGCATGCCGTCCGCACCGTTGCTCAAGTCACTGCAAGGACAGGAGGCAGGCGGTCAGCGGCGCACGTCCACGGCCGCGCCCATGACAGGCCGGCGTTTCAGGGAGGTTTGGGTTTTTCCAATTACACCAACAGAGATGGAAAACGTCGCGCGTCTGCAGCACGGCACCCGCACCCTGTGACGAGTGCCACACTCTCAGATCCTCCAGCCCTGCCCTCCGGGACACCCAGAACCGAAAGGAAGGGCATGCAGTCTCCCCACCACACCCCGCTTACTCCCGTGCACAAACTGGAGGACCACCAGACCCTCCCTTCCAGGCTTTTCCCTTACAACCTCCTTAACCTCCAGGAAGGACGTGGAAACAGACTGGAAGAGGCCCCAGAAAGCACAATATGGGACCCCCCCAAAGCAAAGCTCCCCAGACCGCAGCATGTGAGGGCGCCCCACAAGCCGTGTCTCTGCATGCGCACAAGTGGGTGCTTGAGATGTTGGGCGCATGCCTGTGTGCACGTGTGGTGTGCGTGTGCACACGTGTGTTGTACTGTGTATGTTTGGGTCTGTGTGCACATGTGGGTGTATGTGCACGTGTTGTGTTTGTACGTGTGTGCACATGTGGGTGTGCAGGCACATGTGGGTGTCTGCGCATGTGTTGTACTGCGTACGTGTGGGCACATGTGGGTGTGTGTAAGTGTGTGTGGTGTGTGCATGCCTGTGTGCACACGTGTGGTGCGCGTGTGCGCACGTGTTGTATTGTGTGCATATGTGTAGGTGTGGGTGTGCACACGTGTTGTATTGTGTACGTATGTGCACGTGTGGGTGTGTGCTCACGAACATGCATGCGTAAGTGCATGTGGTGTGCGCATGCCTGTGTGTGCACGTGTGCCCACGTATTGTACGTATTGTATTGTGTGCGTATGTGCACATGTGGGTATGGGCACATGAATGCGGATGCGTTAAGTGCGTGTGGTGTGCACATGCGTGTGTGTGTGTAAACGACGTCCCCAGTGCCCCCGAAGCTCCTCTGTGTCTGTGGAGAGCCCAGGAAGCCGAGCTGTGACAGGTGCGTCTCACGCAGATGCTCTGTAACCTGCACTTCCAGGAACGCTCTGAGGACCCCACAGCTTGCTACAGTTTTGTGGAACAGCATTTGCTGAAAGTCGGTGGGGCCAGGGGGTGCAGCGCTGGGCTGGGCGCTGGTGAGAGGCAGGGCTGCCCAGCCTGCCATGCCGGCCCTTGGGCGGGTGACTGGAACCCACCTACATCTGCCTTATGCTTCAGGGAGTTTCAACTGGGACATGTGACGATCTGATTGTCACAACCTGGGGGGAGGTGCTGGCATCTGAGGCCGAGGACGCTACCAAACGCCTCACATGGCACAGGGCAGAGCCTAGAACAGAGTCATCCAACCCAGAATGTCAACAGTGCCACAGGTGAGACCCTGGCCAAGAACGGAGAGAGGTTTAAGAGCTGGGGTCCTGGTGAACGGCCCCTGGGCTGAGCCACCACCTGGCCTCCCAGCTCAGAGCGAGTCAGAAAGACCAGTTATCATCCCAGGGCACCGACAAGTGATGGCCCAGGCCAGCCATGAGTGAGATGGACAGACACACATTCCACTATGAATCAGAACTTGCTTATTAGGTTATCGTCAAAAATAATTCTGATTTCTTAGTATCTGAGTTGAGCAGCAAGAAAAGGTATCCTGCACTCGGAGAACACCTCCTGTCAGTGTGTGGAGGCCCGGGCACCCCCGGAGCAGCCTCACGCACAGCTCCCTCTGTGCCAACTGAAGGCCTTCGCTGCCTCCCACAAAATGAAGGAGATTATGTTTTAAACAGTAAATCCGTTTATGGATAGGACACAAAATGGTCAGAGCTGCACTGGAACTGTGGCCGTTACACACGGAGGAGGAGGGGTCTGGGGGCGTGCCATGACAAGGCCACGCGTGTTGCTCTAATCTGGCGACAGGGCTCAGGAACCCCGACCGACTGCAGCAGCACAGAACCCACCACGGGCCAGAACCGCACCACATTCTGACGCTAAGAAACACTTTCCTAGTAACGTAAACCCATGGGCATATACTTTAATACCTTTCACCGTTATTTATTAACACTGTACAACAAAAACTACTAAACGTTATGCTCTTTGACAAAGTAATGCCACGTCTGAGAAACCCAACCTAGCAACAAGCCAGAAAAGGTGAGGAACACAGCCACAAAGCTGCTCACCGCAGCTCTTCTTATAACGGGGAACCAGCACAGAGGGCACTGCAGAAACTGTCACGCCTCCAGGAAACACCGGATCATGCTGGCATTAACGTCAGCTTTTCTGAAACGGCAAGGGCTTTGCTTCCCTCCTTTTAAAAAATGACCTGAGTCTCTGAAGATTTAATCAATAAAAAGGATTTCAGGAAGACGAAAGTTCAGAAAACACCCAAGTTCCACCTCTTGGAATAACCGGTGTTCACACACTGACCCTCACACGCGCACATGGTGGGAGACTGAGAATTAAAACCTGAGCTGAGCTCATGGAAACCTCACCACGTGCCCGACACCCCACGAGGGGCTTCACCGCCTCTCAGCCCCTTGGCCATCAGGGACGAACCATCGCCAGCCCCGTCTCTCCAGAGCAGGCCGGGTTCCTCCCCCAGAGCTGTCCCCATGGCCGTGCCCTCCTGCCCATCGTGCACAGCGTCCTCAGGGCCTTGCTGTGGCCTCTTCATGTCACCCAGACACTCAAAGTGGGGCACTGCATTGGAGACATGCATGCGCTTAACCTAGTAGATCAATCCCGTCTTGTAGGACCTACAGACTGCTCACTTATCTCATATTTTAAGAAATTAAACACATATTAATATCTAGGATTAATATAAAGTAATGTAACATATAACAATATAAAAGTTAATAAAACCATTGTTTTGTCAGTACTTAATGCTGAAATTTATCTTATATTTTATCTTTAAAAAACTAAGATAAACACCCAGGGATGACACAATTCTGCTCTGTGGATCGCTAGGTCAAAAGTTAAACACACACTGAGCGGTTGGCCTGGTGGTGCAGCGGTTAAGTGCGCGCGCTCCACTTCAGTGGCCCGGGGTTCCCAGGTTCGGATCCCGGGTGCGCACCGATGCACCGCTTGTCAAGCCATGCTGTGGCCGCGTCCCATATAAAGTAGAGGAAGATGGGGAGCCGGCCCGGTGGCACAAGCGGTTAAATGCACGTGCTCTGCTGTGGCGGCCTGGGGTTCACCAGTTCAGATCCCGGGCATGCACCGACGCGCTGCTTGGCAAGCCATGCTGTGGCGGTGTCCCATATAAAGTGGAGGAAGATGGGCACGGATGTTAGCCCAGGGCCAGTCTTCCCCAGCAAAAAAAGAGGAGGGTTGGCAGATGTTAGCACAGGGCTGATCTCCTCACAAAAATAAAAAAATAAAGGAAGATGGGCACGGATGTTAGCCCAGGGCCAGTCTTCCTCAGCAAAAAGAGGATTGGTGACACGTTAGCCCAGGACTAATCCTCACACACAAAAATAAAAAGTTAAATACACTATGATTTAAATAAAAAAGCTCCTTCAACAGCACAGAATACATATAATAAAAGGTGAAGTGAAAAAAAGTGGGGAACAAAATTATACATGCATTTTGACCTCAAGTGCCTTAAAAAGAAATAGGAAAAAATGATCGAGAAACACCCTGTCACTGAGGCTCCAGCAGGGGGTCCAGGCGGGTTGGCCCCCACTTCACTATGTGCTACTTTTTAAAAAATAAAAACCATGTATTACTTTTCATTTCCAGGGAGAAGAAACCCTTCCACGCAGGAACGAGCTACAGGTGCGACTTCTGGCCACGCGGCTCGGGAACTGCCCCAGGCAGGGAGACACTGAATCCAGTCTGAGCAGCCGGGAACCGAGGTGGCTGATAGGAAAGCTGGGGCCCACTGCCCACCCACCCAGCCAGGACCGCGGTCACCTGGCAGAGAGCCTCGTGCCATTGGAAGTCGACACTGACGACGTGACGAAGACACCGCTGATTGATCCTTGAGCCATTTCTGAAAAGAAAGAAAACAAAGCCAATGTCACGAAACAGAGACCACAAGAGACAGAGGCGCGCATGCTGAGACCAGACGCCACGCCCGACAGCTCGGATCTGCCAGCCTTTTCTGCATGACGCCACCTGCCAGAAAGCAGCCCTGCTGGTCTGGTGTGCGGCCACCGGGGCAGCCCTCTCTCAGAAGACACCAAAGTCCTTAATTCATGTGCAGTCACTGATGACAACCCAGCTGGGACATAGGACGAAAGCCATCGTCGTGAAGCAGAGGGCGGGAACCGGGGGAGGATGGACCACTGTCCACTGCCATCCTACAGATGACGGGTCTGTGCCAAGGACAGGACAGTGGACGTCAAGGGCGGTCAAGGGCGCATCAGCTCGGGCGTCCCGGCAGGGCAGTGGCTGGGGTCTGGGGGCCGGCAGGCACCAGTCTCACTGGACGATCTGCAGCCAGATGCCCACTTGCTCTGGACGCTCAGGAGCCCTGCAGCCCACCCAACGCCGGGGCTCTCGGGAATAAAGGCACCCTGCACAGTGGGGCAGGGACGGCAGCCTTTTCTCACCACAAAGCCCCGTCCTTGCCCTGAGGCCAGCACCCGCCAGCTCAGCAAAGCAGTCGTCAGAACGAGAGCCAGAGAGCCGCTCGCCGGCCAACGCCTTGAGCTCTTGCGCTGCAGGGACCACGCACCACCTCAGGGGACACGTCCGAGCCTGCCACACTCCTCAGGGAATTTCAATCTCCCCCACCGGGGCCCTGCCTGGAAGGTGACATCCTGACTCACAATCATCACATAAACTGCACAGCAAGCCACGAATGCCACTTGGGGACCGCCACACCCACACCCCACTCACTCCCACAGACCCCGCGACCCCTCACGTTCCGCTTGTCTTTGCTCGTGGTGCTGGCACTTGAGCCAACCTCAGTAAAGGAGGGCCAAACGTCGGGGACTGGGGGCCGTCCCTCACCCTGGCCACGTGGCCACTGTGGGCATTGGGACACAACTGACCTGTCACGTAGGGCTCCAATGCCTTCGGTACCAAGCTCCTCACCACTTTCAGGTCTTCGGCAGAGCAGCCGCCCGACTCCAGCCCACAGGCCATCCCCATGCGCTTCAGCACCTCGATGTCGTCGTGGATCTCAAACGTGTTGTCAAAATTAAACAGATACTCGAATCTGGAGGAGAAAGTAACTGTCAGAGAAGCACCATCTTCAAGACGGAGACAGACGCACTTGTTCAGGGCCCAGAGCGGGGCACCCACCCACTCCAAACCATGTCTGCCGTCTCCGCAAAATGCATGGACTCAGAAACAGACAGACACGAGAGGCTAGGGCAGCATCACAAGCCGCCTTCCAGCTCTACGGGCCCGGCCTGGGACACGGGACAGTCCACCCGCAGCTCGGGCTGCCTGCCGCCCCAGGACGGACAGCAAACACCGTCTGCTACTTGTGCAGCGTTTACACAGCTGCCCTAATAACAACCCTAATAGGTTTGATTTCTTTTCCTTTTAAAAGAGAGATACACAATCAGAGAAATGAGCAGTGGCTCTAAATTAATTATGCTAAAAGGCAGTATTCCTTAATAGTAAACTAGATACTTTTATAAACAAATGAACCAGATGGACTAGCCTCTTCCTCACACCACCGACTACAGCGTCCTTCACGTCTGACTTGCGACTCATGGCAGAGACACAGAACCTACTTGTCATTAGAAATGCTGCAGTCGATGACGGTCTTCTTGCTGGTGTTCACGAGGATGAAGGGCAGGTGGATGACGGAGTTGGGCGGGGGCGGCCGGCTGGCTTGCTGCTCCGCCTGGCGGTTTCTCTGCACCAGATTCTTGAAGGCAATTTGCTAAAAAAGATGAGCGATTGACATACCACTCGTAGCTAACACGTCCTCCCAGGCATCCTCAACGACCTTCCTCGAACCCCACCAGATGGCAAGGGGGTCTGGGCCCCTTTTAGAGATCAGAGCAAAGGCTGAGGGGCTGCAGGCTCTGTTGAGCCACCCGGCACAGAAAACGCATCCTGAGAAACCAAACACACGGAGAACTGAGCCCATGGAGACGCAGGCCCTCACAGAAAGACGCAGAGACGCAGACCCGAGACAGACAAACCCTCACAGAAAAGGACTAAAAGACGCATTGGCTCGGGAGGTTTCATTCCCTTGCCCTCTCCAGGAAGGGGTCCTCAACTGTCCGTGCCTGTCCCACCCACGTCAGAAGGCAGACAGTCGGTCGTGGACCTGGAGCCTCCCACCCCGCGGACCTGGTGGTCAAGGGTTTCTCCTCTGGGGGGGAGTGCTCAGGCCTGAAGCCAGAAAGCCAGGGCCCTGGGCCCTGAAATGACGTTTACCTTCAAGATAACTCACTTGCTGTTAACTTAAAGCCAGACAGACCCCCTCTGTCCCTGGCCGGCCTTCTCCAGTGCTGCCCGGCCTTCTCCAGTGCTGCCCGGCTACGAGACCCAGGACCTCGCAGCTCAGCAGGAGAGAGGTGGCCCTTTGGATTTTTTTGTAACTGGCAAGGCCAGACACAGAAGAAAAGAACAATTCATCCTAATGGGGGCAACTGAGTGGAAGGAAGAAGTGGGGAGCCGGGAGGGCCCCCGCCTGGTGCCACCTCCTCTCCCGGCAGTTCTGTCCATCTGCTCTTCCGTTTCCCGACTCCCCTCTGCCCCCTCGGCCCTCGACCACTTCCCCACCCACCAAAGCATCCCCTCCCCTCGGCTGGCCCCCAGGGGGGTCCGGGATGCCTCTCCTAAGGGCGATGGAGCAAGCCAGGCTCAGTGAGGCGCCCCGCGCTGAGCACACCTGGCCTGGGTGCCACACTCACCCTCAGCCATGGTCCACGGGCAGTGCTGGGCGCTGGGCCAGCCGGTGTCCCAAGCCCCACGCCGACCCCTCCTGGCCTTTCCCCAAGTTCTGAGACCACCCACCCTCAGCAGCCGGCCCATGCTGACCCCGCACTTCCTCCCAAGTGTCCTTGCTGCCACAGCTCCTAACACCCCTGGCCCTCGGGTTCTTGGATGCATGTGCCCCAGGGTCCTGGGGCTCCCCGATGCCCTCCAACCTGACACATGGCGCGTGACCTCTCAGCCCCCGGGGTCCACAAGCATCTCAGTAAATCACTGCTGAGCTACCCTGCCTTCCCTGACCCACCTCCCCCACGCTGGCAGCTGCCCCCAGCCCCAAGCCCGGCCGGGCAGCCCCACACCACGCTGCCTCAGTCCAGGGACCAGCCAGCCCTCCAGTGTGCTTCCTGCACATGTGTCTGCATTTTTGCTTCCAGCCCAGGACACGCGACTCTAGGACCCAGCAGGGTGAGGCCCATGCTCGGGGAGCTCTCTGCAGGCCCAGAAGCCGGCGACACGCACCCAATGACACGTGTGCTCTGACCACACGCGACGACCTCTGAGCAGTAACTGCCAAGACGCACCCCAGGCTCCCCTGCAGCTCATATCTCGTCGGGGCCCGCCACTCAGGACACGCTCCACACGTCCCCGAGGACTTCCACATGCCACCCCTCCTGACACTGAGACACTCTGTGACGAGCGACACTCACACTCTCTCTCTCTGGGAACACAGCCCACATCTGCGAGAGTTTGTGTCAATGACCCTGCACAGGAGGAGCTTGATGACTCGCTGTGAAATTCACATCCGGAATCTCCAAGCAGAGGTTTTATTTGCCACACAGGAATAGAATGAGCTGTAAGATGCTGCTGTTGAGAAGGAACTAAATTATAGAAGAAATAAAAATTACCTTGTCTCCACAAAATAAGCATGTCATTACCTGCAGAATAAGTTCTTGAAGCTGAGACTGTTTCTGTTTTATCCTTTCAAGTCTTCTCTGTCTTTCTACCTTCAAAGATAAACCACCAGTACAAGAAGTCGTCACAATTTGTTTAACACGGCATATTTTAAAATCCATATCAACACGTCATCTAAGTATGTTCTTGCCAAAAATGTCTGCCCCGAATCCCAGGGTGGGAGACAGACGAGTCTAGAACATGGCAGGTGCCACAGAAGATGGGAGAGTTTCTCCTCAACCTCAAAATTACACATCCTTCTCCCGTCTTCTCTCATTTTCTGGATATGACTGTGATGTTAAAAAAAAAAAAACACGCCACAAGCAAGGATTCAGAATTTACCTACACTAGAGTTCCCCGCCCTGACTGGGCCGACCGCCTCTCCCAGCCAGCGCATCTGCAGAGCCCAGGCAGGCTACACGGGCAGCGCACCATCAGACGGGAAGGGACAGGCCCTGATCAGAGAATTCGGGATACAGGGAAACACCTGTCCACCTCGTCCAGGCCCTGATCAGAGACCTCGGGACACAGAAAAACACCTGTCCACCTGGTCCAGGCCCTGATCAGAGACCTCAGGACACAGGGAAACACCTGTCCACCTGGTCCAGGCCAGGCGCAGACGGCACAGGACCTGTCGCAGGACCCGGGGTGCAGACGACAGCGCCTGCTTCAACAGACTGCTGGGGGTGAATCGACACGGACACACGGGAATGAAAGGCCGGGGTACCTCTAAATTCTGACATTCCTGAGCCGAGTTGGTGGGCAGACCGATCCACTTGATCTCCTTCTTCTCCTTGGAGATGATGTTCATGGCCATCAGCACATTTAAGGCATCGTAGACTCGCCGCCTTATGTTCTTCTGGTCGTAAGCCTGCAGAGACAGAGCGGGAGCATTCCAAACGATCCAGCAGAGCTCGCAGACAGACTCAAGGAAGGGCACCCTCGACGCTCCCGTGCGGTATAAGCCCATCGCAGCAGCTGCCAGCATCACTCCCAATGCGTTCGCAGACCGGCCGGGAGAGGGCGCTTCTGCTGGGGGAGTCATGCGACACCAGCCAGAGCCCGCGCCTGGAAACCTTCAGGGGTGACGGGCGTCCTAGCCGCACATGGGTGAGGAAGAACTCTTGAGCATGGTTCTCAGAACTTCTCCGCACATTTGAAGTTACTTCAGATGCAAACAGAGTGGGCAGTGCGATGCCAGTGCGCTCGCTGACAGCTCCCCCGTGCGGGCAGCGCACACTTACCGACTCGTTGGGCAGGATGTGGTTGTCGGCGGCGCTGAACTCCGCGACCAGCTCATCGGCCACCTCGTTGTAGGACGTGGTCCCCTTCCTCTGCACCTTCTCGCAGACCTTCATGGAGAAGTGCCGCAGGCCCTTCCCGTTCTTCTCGCCTTTCCTGCTCCGCTTCCTGCGGACACACCGGGGGCCCCTTAGCATTCTGGAGCCCGCCTGGAATCAAGACACACGCTCACCCCCAGGGGCCCGCATCCACTGGTGCTGGAGCCCACACGAGGCCAGCGGCCCTGACCCCATCTCAGAACACTGGTGGGCGTCCAACACCTCCTCTCTTTCTTTAAAGGCCAGAAAACCAACATTTAAGTGGCCAGACTTCACCTCTGTACCTCTCTCAGGAAAAACGGGGCAGAAGTCCACAAGGGCGGACAGGACGCAGCACTGGTCTGCTGCACAGACACACTGACACCGCTTCTTACAAGATGCCGACCAACAGCAGGGATTGGGGAAGCTTTACTGCAAACTTAGGAACTTTTAGGGCAAATATGAGGAGGCTATGAGACAAGGCGGTGCTGAGGCCGTGACGGCCGTCTGGCAGCGGGCGCCACATGGTGCAGGAAGCCAACGTCTCAACTCTTCAAGTCACCGTGTGGAGGGACCGGTCCCCCGAGGCTCTAACCGGGTGAACTTCCAGGACTGAGGAGCTTGGCTTCAGAGCCGACACAGACATGGTTCTGTGGCTTTGTTTTTGTTTGTTTTTAAGGAAAGTCGCACAGCTGACCTTCGAGTAAAACTGTCTACATCAGTCTGCTTTGGTGGAAGCAAAAATCAAAGCAGCAGTGTGGTGGGCCCCTGGGGGCCGTCGCTGGGGAACAGCGGCTACGTGTGGCTGCAGGGGTGAAGCTGTGGTGAGACCATCACATTCACATGGTGTTGCTGGGACGCCACCTCCCGTTGTGGACTACGGGAACTTCAAAGTCACCCTGCATTGAGAAGCCAGCTTCCTCCCCTTCTCCACCAAGAGCTGACCACCCTCTACAGTGTAGCCATCACCCAAAACCACAGGGGGCGGCTCTCCCGCCCTCTACAGTGTAGCCATCACCCCAAACCACAGGGGGCAGCTCTCCCGCCCTCTACAGTGTAGCCATCACCCCAAAACCACAAGGGGCGGCTCTCTGCCCTCTACAGTGTAGCCATCACCCCAAAACCCCAGGGGGTGACTCTCCCACAGCCCAACTGGTCCCTGATGAGGAAGGAGAAGCGGGCAGTGAGGACCCATCTCTCCTGGACATGGTGCGTCTGCCTGAGGCGCGGCCCTGCGGCCAGAGAGAGCAGAGTCATGACTGTAGGCCACGTGCTCACCCGGCAGACCAAGGTGAGGGGTCTGAAGGCTGGTTCTGGGAGACAAAGTGGGTGTTAGGGGTGTGCGGGCTTCCCACCACGATCGTGCTAGGCGCTGCAGGTCGCTGGGGCGTGCCGATCACCTACGGCCAAAAAAACAAGCAGACGATCAGAACCCCACACCCGACGCCGTCACCTCATCATTTCCCACCATCCACAGCCACGGCTGAGTTTTCTTAACCACATAGGCCAGAAGGAACAGGAGGGGTGAGGACCCGGCACCTGGCCCCTAGAGGACAGCACCCCACCCCCTGAACGTGGCTGTCTCCACCAGGCTTAAGCGAGAACCTCTCCCAGGTGAACAGAAGCAGCAGGAACATCAGGCAGCCCGGACGAGCCAGCCCACGGCACACACCTGGGGGCACAGCCCCGTCAGCTCAACCTCATTGTGTGGGGCCTGTAAACCGGGCGTCCCGGGCACGGACTCTGCGGGACCCTGCACGCCTCTATCTCCCTCTCATCCTCTTTTATGTCCCTTCCTTCGATGACTTGGACAGGATAAAACTGTCCTCCAGTGGTGCTAACAGAAGGCCAAAGACAAACAGGGAACAGCTCTCAACACAAAAGGGACCCGGGGCGGACACAGGGGGGCCCCCAGCTCATCCGTGTGCGGGAAGCCCTGTCTCGATGGCGGCTTCGTGGGGGACCCGGGCACCCCAACAGCACTGGGTGGGGAGGGAGCAGAGGCAGGGTTCCCTGCCCCAGGGGACACACCGGTGATCGCAGCTCTGGAGACGCAGCGCTGAGCCGCCCCCGCACGCCGTGTCTGGCACCCACCACCCTTCTCACTAAAGGAAGGGAGCCCTGCCTTGTCTTTTGACAACAGAGACTTAGAACTTGGCTTCCATCAGTCAACCTTCAAACGCTGACATGGGGACAGACATTGCCTCGTCCAGCCAAGAAAAACCAACTTTTCCAAGATCTTGCTGCACGACCATCTACACCAATTAACCGACTCAGGGAATTACTCGAACACCATTCCTCAGCCACCACACAGCACAGTGCCGGGGACAGGGCGGCCCCGAGGAGGGCAGACTGTGGCCTCAGGGACTTCCGCCTGGGCTATTTTAAGCTGGATGCCCCCTCCCGTCCCCTTCTTAGCGGGATAAGTGTGTTACCTGCACGGCCCTAATTCAGCTGACAGGGCACTCCATAAATTATCCCTAAGCCCAGGTCACTGCCAATGATAAGGACCCACAAACCACGGCAAGAAAAACAGCTCCAGCGAATTTCATTCTTTTAATTCCTATTTCCGGGGATAAAAGCTTCATCACAGTTTTTCTAACTGTAGATCACCTTCATTCAAAAGCATGAAATCAAATAGCAAATTTTCTGAAAAATGAAACAGGAGAGAAACGAGAACAAATCTCCCCAAGATGGGAAGGCCGCATGAACTTGTTCCCGCCCAGCGGGTGCGTTACAGGCGCCGAGGCTCGTGGCGCACAGTCCACACAGCACAGACTCCTGTCCCTCGGGTCCACCTGGACCCGCCGGTCGCTCCCAGGAGAGCAGACACAGGACACCAGCACGCCCCCGCAGGTGGGCAGAGGCCAGACGTGATGGCCTCACGTGCTCTGCTCCCCCAGAAGAGGGCCACCTAACCTCAGGGCCAGGGCCCGGACACGAGGAGAGCCAGGGGGCCAGGCGCACAGTGGGTGCTCAGTGACGGCTCACCACGAGAAGGGCCTTCCGACAGGACAGGCAGGTGAGCCCCGGAGGGCTCCTCGTGCCCGCAGGCCACACCCATGGTACCCACACCGCGGGTTCTCTCTCTTCTTTTCTATTTTACATGGAAATCTCGACCCACGGGCAACAGTCTGGGCTGTGAGCCGAGCACCCAGCACGGGTCAGGTGAAGTGGGGGGACTCAACGAGCCCCCAGTTATATCTTCACCCATGTGAGGACGAAGCCTCAGCTCCCCGGTCAGAACCAGCCAGTCCCTCACTTCTGACCCTTTGGCAAACAGCGATTTACAAGACGTGTACAACGTGCAGCCTTAACTCACAGTGCTGGGATTTTGTGAAGGATGAGTTACCATTACCAGCTCCACCCACGACACCTTGATTAAAATCAGCGACTTAGGGGGCCGGCCCCATGGCCGAGCGGTTAAGTTCACCAGCTCCACCTCAGCGGCCCAGGTGCACAGGTTGGGATCCCAGGGGTGGACCCACACACTCGTCAGCCAGGCTGTGGCGGCGCCCACATGCAAAGTAGAGGAAGATGAGCACAGATGTTAGCTCAGGGCCAATCTTCCTCAGCAAAAAAAAAATAAAATCAGCGATTCAACTTTCAGACTGATACAGTTTAAGGGGCACAATAGAAAAATCTTTATGTTAATCTTCCTCTCAACTATTTATACTGGCAATAAAAACAGAACTGTTCTAATACTTCATGAGGTTTATCCCAAGCTAAACTCTGCTGAAATATAATATACAGTACCTACAAAATAAAATAATAGGAACCATAAAGTAAAACATAAAGTGGAATAATTTATATCAAAAAGACATTTATTGAAAAGCTATGACGTGCCAAATATGGTCGAGGACTTCTACACACTATCACCTTCAAAACAACCACAGCGATTGTGCTAAGAAAACATGATCACATTTTCCTCACGGGCTGAGTGACAGGGAGCACACCTGCCTAGAACAGGAGCTGGGGTCTGAACAAGCCCAGGTGGGCAGTAAACGCCCTTCTCTCCTCACGGCCCAGGAGTAGGGACGACTTCAACCCAACCAGCATTGCGTCGGGAAGAGGTCCGATAAATCCCACAGGTGGGAGCTGGTCATGGGTGGGGCACACAGGGGCGAGGGTGCCTGGCAGGGTCCTGGGAGCGCAGACCCACCTCTGGCCCCTCCCGAGGGATGGGATGGGACGGGACAGGCAGGGACGCGGCTGTCCTGCAGAGCCCTAACCCCGCCATGAGCTCCGCACGGACACCACCCTCGTTTCCCAGGCAGGTGGAGCAACGTCCACCCTGATGAGGGTCAAGGCCAAGCTGCCCTGTCCTGGCCCAGGTCCCACCCTCCAGCCACACAGACAAAGCCCTGAGGAGGAGGGACACACCAGCACACGGAAACCACCTGTGCTAACCAACACTCTTGAAACCTGAGCAAGGTGACACGGTGACCATCCCAGCCCCACGAGCACACGACAGCAAACCACAGAAGTCAACCCCCCCAACCTCCATGCCGGAACCTGGGGGCCGCCGTCCCAGAGCCACAGCCTCCCGCCTGGCCTCACCACTTGCTGCGTGACGTTGACACTGGACTGTCCGAACGTCTTCGGCAGGAGTTGCTTCCCGAGCGTGTTCACCGTGGATGGGTGGACGGCCACCAAGGACACGACCCCTGCAACAAGCACACGGGGGTCAGATCTCTCCCGAGTCAGGGTCAAAGTGACAGTCCAGGACGACGATGCTTCCAATCAGAAACTCATCCTCTCCCCGCTGACCACTGTAGATCCGTGGCTCGACCGCCACGACTCTACCAAGCTTAATTCTCAGTCTGGGGTGCTGCACAGAGCTCGCTCTCCCGGACAGCTAGCCCCTCTGGGCATTTCTGCGTCCGAGAGCCGGGGGCTCAGCTGGCCCCGGCATATCCACCTGCTCTGAGCCCCTGGGGGGCATCTGCCCATCAACGCAACATTCTGGTGGGACGGCAAGACCTGGAGGTAACAGCTCGTAAAAGTCCACAATTGTCTGACAATTAAAAAACAGAATTTTAAAATCAGAATTAACTCGTATCCCAACATTTCTCTATATGTTCGCAAAACTAGTTTAGAAATCCAACAAGCCCCTTTTCCTTGAGAAGTGGAATCACATTTCTGTTTCCAGGAAGAAGAACGCCCTGTGAGGAGCGGCCCCCTCTGTTCCGAGAAAACCTCAGCACAGAGCCGAGGGGAAGGTCTCCGGGGGGAGGGGAACGTTCACTCAGTCAACAGGTGGACACTCAGAGCGTCCACGCCTGTGCTGTCCTCGGTCCGGGGGACACAACAGTGAATGAAATAATAAAATATTTCATTTTACATAACAGATAATAAAATATAAGATAGAGTAGAAAGGATAAAAATTCAAAGTATAAAAATAAAGCCCTTGCCCTGATGGTGTTAGAGGGCAGAGAGAAAATAAACAGGAGATACGTAAAATGAGTGGTGGTTCCCTGGGAATGAGGGCAGGGCACACAGTGGCCCCCGCAGGAGGCGGCATGGTTCGGCCCTGACGGAGAACCAAAGGAGAACCAGGCTGCGCAGGCTGCCTCCAGCAGGAGCTCGGCCCTCAAGTTCAGAGGGCCTCAGCTCCCTCCGGTGAAGGTCCACGTCCAGGCCTCTGCCACACAAGGAGAGAAGCCCGTTCTGGTCATGCCCCTGGACCCCTCAGGTCTCCCCAAAGCCCACAGCCTCTTCTGGCCAGCCGTGGGCGAGCGGAGAGCCAGGCTGGTCCTCGAGGGGGTTGGAGGTGATGGCTATGCGGGCGGGGCCTCCCCAGAGGCTAACAGCGGGACAACACCTCCCTCACGTCCCCGTCGGCATCGTCACGGCCTCCAGCCGTCCAATGAGACGGCGTCTCCCACTCAGCTCAGCCTCAGGCTTCAGTGTGGAACCCTTCACAATCCACACACTTCAAAGAACAGGCGTCTTCACAATTCAGGAAACAATGGGGTTTGCTGCTACATACCAACACCGAGCAATTTCTCTTAGGAATCTAAGGTGACCAATACAGACACCCTTCAGTTCAGCTGGCTAAATGCTAGTATTTTTACCAACGCCAACAGACACTAAAATTATTTTCTGTGAATAAGTTTATCCACTTTGAGTTTTTATTTTCCTCTAAAGATAAAGATCTGTATCTTAACAAAAGCAAATTTTTAAAATTGTCTTAGATATGTGAAAAACATTTTAAAAGACAAACATCAAGTTATTCTATTTTGCACTGAGAGATTTGAAATACATAGTTAGGCAATTAAACATTTCCCTTTTTGGATTCTCATACAGACTAGTAAGTTTCCAGAAATACTGGATTGATTCATAAAAAAAGATAGCATTGGGCTTTTTTTCCAACTTGCAAATGATTCTCTAATTTTCAATGAATCTGAAGAAAGAAAACAGACCTTGGAGCAGCAGCTTGCAGAGTCATGTCAACATCGGCAGTTCTCCCAACACCAAATTTTAAAGCTTATTTTGCACGTCAAAGTCAGAACACGTCGGTGGACAGGACCAGGCGGTCATCTTAGATAGCTAGACCCGCCGGTCCGGCCACAACACCGCCCACTACGCGTACAACATACCCACCCATAGCCACGGGCACACGTCTGGACTCCCGTGTTCTCTCAGCTGGGGTCCCGGGCGACGGCAGAGCGAGGCAGCAGTGGACGGGTCAGGGCTCTGCCCCGACCAGGGTCTCTCCGCTGTGTTTTCGTCAAGCGAGAAATTCTCCAAACACAAGCACCGTCTGCAGACAGGCCCGCTTCAGGCACCAACAATTGACGCCCGTCAGCACTTCGTCACAGCTGCCAGGAGGCAGCGGCAGAGCCCTCCTCACAGCCCTGAGCGGCCCTGCAGCCACTCTCAGGTCGAAGATGCGCCCGTCCATCTTCCATCTTTCTCCACGCGCGGCCAGAATCCAAGAACACAAGCACCATTTGTGGGGCCTTTAAAATTCAGAAAAGGCTGTCTATTGCACATATCCTGCATCTCCGCTCAGGCTGTTTCGGGGACTTGAGGATCCATGGAGAGATCTGGCTGGCGTCCTTGATCACAGCGCCGTGCTCCGTCATAACCAGCGACCACGTGAACACACAGACGCCACGGAAAACGCTCTCACTCTGCCTCACGGACGCGCGGCCGACGTCAGGCGGGCCCCCTGCGGCCGAGCAGGGCTTTCTCTCAGGCAGAGGCGCCAAAGGGGACCCGGTCCCAGCGACCTTCTGTGTCACAAGATTCACCACAGCACCTCCATGTGGCCGCTCCACACGCGCATGCATGCACGCACACAAGCACACACCACAGGCACACACACCACAGGCACGCACACACAAGCACACATCACAGGCACGCACACACCACAGGCACGCACACACCACAGGCATGCACACACAAGCACACACCACAGGCACGCACACACAAGCACACACACACCACAGGCATGCACACACCACAGGCATGCA